GAGGGGGAGTGGGAGTCTCTATCTCACTTCCCTTTACTCTCTACAATGGGGATGGAATTCAGAGGAGTAAATAGAAAAACCATATGGGGACGTGGGTAGAAAGAAAGGTCCAGTATTTGGTGTCAGTCGGGTTACTATTTCTATAGTGTCATTTATTTCAAAACAAAGCATTCTGCTCTCTATGCATGTTCAAGCGGTGTGGCCTGGCAAAGTTCTTGCATTTAAAAAATCTGCGCTTGTTCTGTGTTTGATTCAAAGAAAGTTAGAATTTGTGATTTAGGGGGAATCTGAGGTGATGATTTTTTAGTTCTTGGAATTCCCGTAGTCAGTGTCATCTGAACCCTCCGTGCAGAAACCGGTAATTTCGATCTATTTCGATCGCACGCCAGCCGAAAATTTTGTGAATAAAGGTGCGATCAAACCTATCGAGCGACATGTGAACGTATGATGTTTGTTCAGGTGGATTATATTTTTAACACAGCTCTTCATAAAGGTTATCGTATAGGTCATAATTTGGATATTATGCTCAACTCCCACAAAGGGACACCACGGAGAGTCTCGCCCATTATGGTCTCACTTCGAAGAACAGGGCAGAAAGGAACAGTTTGCAATGAACAAGGGCTTCCAAGAAATATCAATAAGGAAATGGTGAAGAGCGTAACTTACTGAAGAGGGTCCAGGATCATCACCGTATATGGAAAATGTTGATGGGCTCGGTGGTGTAGAACAACCTTAAAGGCCTCATCGTAGAAAACTCACGAAAAGTCTCAAAAATGATATAATGATAATATAGTGAGATATAAAATGATTTTAGTTGATAAAACCTCTGTATTTTTGTCGACTCTAACTTTAAATTTACACATCCTCACTAGGGTTAGTAATCAGAATGCATTCGTACGGTATAGGAGGCAAGAACGTTCACATTGAATTAGAGGAGTTCACGAGGAATTTCCAGAAGCAGCATTTTCGAAAAAATGAAAAAATGGTTGGAAATTAATGCCTTTCAACAAGTTATTGTTTTTTGTTCCCTGAGATCGAATAGGTCTCTTCTTCAATGGTGAAGAGACATAACTGCCAATTAACTACATAAATACCTTCTTGATTGTATTCATCATCATCTACATGTTTTCTTTCCGTGCTCAGGGCAGCATATCCATAGGTGATGTGAGGCTTGTCGTTTTCTCTCCGATCCCTAAAAACAAGTCCCTTTTTTGTTTGTACCTCTGCCTTCTGTGAATATTGAATGTGACAGCTCCTCCCATGCATGTTTATTATTGAGGCGATTGAGGTGTAGTCTAATAGCTATCAATAGTTGCTATGGGGAGTCAGATTTTTCGTGATTTTTAGGGCTACGTGAATCTTTCACGGGCTAAGAGGATGCTATACTAGGAGGAGCAGAAGAGAGGCATCGAGATGAGCATCTGCTCGGAACAACCGAGCGCTGAGGAGGAACCCAGAAGCGGCCAAGTCATGCGATAGCACTAATAGTGGACAAAATTTGTGAGATATGGTGGACTTTTTGATCCACTTTCTCCTCATGGATCCCTGTGGTCACAAAGCCTCGGCCCTCTCTTCTTGCCCTGAGCCTTCAATAGAAAGGAAGCCATGGTTCCTTTTGAATTGGAGGAGGGCCCTTGGCGGAAAACATTTCCACCCATGTATTATTCATAAAGCCAGCAAAATGATAAGAAGCAACAGACCTAAAGCTCTCGTACGGTCGTACGGTTATCCGTCGTTCGCTCATTCGCCGTGGGACACTGTAGCGTTTGTGCCAGTCTCGTTTCGGGGCCTCAAATGCATCTTCGGCTAACTGCTCTGGCCCCGGTGGAGACAGATTAATAGTCATCTGCAATAAGTTCGTAATAGAGCAGAAAGTGAAGAACTTCGGCGTTTCAGCTGGTATTCCATCAAGACAAATCAGCTAATTAATAGAAATACGCGGAGCGAAATAGAGCGAAGAGTCGGGAATACTGCGAGAAGACCGAGTTGCAACTGATTAATGAAAATGTACAAGTAATAAATAAGATCTGACAACGAACGAACAACGATTTTGAGATTTTCAGCGTAAGCTTCTTTTCGGTGTGGTGGCAAAAATACCACTATTGCACACGCATGGTCACGGGTTCGAATCCCGATTGCTCAGACCGACCAAACCCTCTTTCTTCCTTGGTCGGCTAATTCATACCAGATCTGTCTGGAAAATAAAGGTACTGACGTCTACAGCAACTGACCGCCAAAAGTCACCCTTTGGTCAGTCACAATATGGGCCATATACGCACTCAATACACAACTACGATTGTGAATTTCTGTCCCTCAGACGAGATTCTTTTTGAGCCCAAAGGCTTTATCCTTTATCCTTTTCGAGCTCAAACTCAAATTTTATAGTACTCGCAGCTCAAGGGCAGGGGCACAGTGTTCAGGTACCAAGATCATCTCTTGGAGCAACAGATATCAATAGGAACGAGAAAAAGAATTGTTGAAGTGGGGGAGGCAATTGCTATAGACAAGCACGTTGTGGCTCTTGCAGAACGATTAGTCAAACTGCACATGTCAGATGAGTGCACTTTCTCAAAGGGTCGTAGATGGGCGTCGAAGTGGTTCTCTGGACAACATTAACTTTTTTGAGCGATATGCAGTTGACGTAAACAACAATCAGGAACAAAAGACACACATGTCCCCTGAAGTCAAAGTCTGTCTATCCCAAGCAATTCATTTTTGCTCCAAATTTCGCGAGACCTTCAACGACTAAAATTAATTTTCCATTTTTGCCGTACATCAGACGCCGAAGCGAAGGCAATAGAGACACATATGTATGTAAAAAAGTGAAAGTGAGGTGAGGTAGTGTTATCTAAATATTCTCTTACGTATCTGAAGGAAAACGAAACGGAAAAATTAGCAAAAAAGTCCTCTTTTTGAACTTTTGGATGCTAATGCTGAAAATACTACTAACAGAAGACCTCAGAATTACCATAACGTATGAAGGGTGAAAATCTTTGACGTAGATCAGCCCTTCTGTGGGATGCGCACCCTGTTCTGCATCCATTAAGGATAGGCTGTAGTGGTATGTAGCCCATTCAAATTGGATTGAGACGATCACCTGATGAACACTTCAGTGCTTTATATACCTAGATCAGTCTGACACCAGTGAAACCCCCCCCCCC